ATATGATAGTACATATAGAACATAGCAGGGAGGGGGGAGAGGGGAGAGAAAAAAGAGGAGTGTTAGAAACAGTTCCACAGGGTATGAAAAGTGGTTGCAACTTCAGAAGTAGTGCCATGGAGTATGTTTCCTCTGCACTTGATTTTCTGCTCATGCAATTTAATAGACGGTTATAGGAGCACAGGTTTATCTCGGTGCCTTTGCAGAGGCAAATGCAACATTTGTCTGTAGCAGTAGCAATTTTTCTTTTCTCTGTCTTTTCCCTTCCCACATTTTGGAACTGGGGCAGGAAATGCAGGCTGTCGCAGAAATGACTTTAGGTTAACTCCAGTTCCAGACTGTCTGTGAGCCCTTTATTGCTTCTGTTTTCTCCTCTTGTTTCTGCTTCTACATTAAGACAACCCTCCATGCAATCTGGCTGTGGCTGGTAAGGATGCCTTCCTACCTTCCTGCCATCTGGAGCAGCTCTTCTCTTTCTCTTATTTAATTGCTATATAAGCTCAGACTTCAACTGAATACATTTATTTCTTGACTATATAACATGCAACTCTCTGCTAGTGAGCGGCCATGTATATGAACTGATGCTGTTCCCTGCAACATAGAGCTCTCTTGCATTGCATCCCATTAGGCCTTCTCATAAAGATGGGATTTTTGTCCTGCTGCCTTGATTTGCTAAAGTGCTATGTGTGGATAAGCCCAGAGAATCACTGTTGAGGAGCTAGTGTCTAAGAAAACCTCAAAAGCTTTCGATGTTGTTTTTTATTGATTTATAAAGGACGAGTAAGCTTCTCCTCTTTTGTTAACCCCATAGCGCAGATATGCTCAAGAGTTTGCAGTCCTGTATCTTTTCTCTGTCAACTGCTCTTGATGGCTTTGACAAAACCCATGTCTTCTCCTCATCAGCCTGCGTGACACAGATTGTGTGCTCCCTTTCACATTTTCTCCCTTTTGCAGTTTTTAACATAGCCACATGCAAAGAAAGTATACCTCGACAGGTAGCACTCTGAAGACTGTGCCAGAGAGCATCAGGCATGTATCCTGGCCTCTTCAAGGCAGCCTCCCTGTTGCTTAAGAAAGAGAAAGATGGATTTGGGAACCCAGAGGAGAGCGGCACCAGATCTGTTTCTGCCTTTGTAAAGACCAGTAGCAGAGGGACAGTCATGTAGAGGGAGAAGAGGTAACATAGGGACATCTTTATTTTAGGGTTTTTTTGCATTCCCTGGGCATTCCTCAGCCTCTGAAGAGAGCACATAAGAATGGGACCATCATTGGCAAGTTCTGCTTGAGTCCATGAAGGTTCTGTTTTTGAAGGTATATCCAATTTCTAGTGATCTGGAAAAAAAAAAAAAAATTAGCAACATTAGTTGCCCTTTTTGCAGCTGCAATGCCCAATGTGTTTTTCTTCTTCCCTGCTTAGGGCACAGCATCTGGAGAATCGTTGTTAATGTAGAAAATGGTTTGTTTCTTTCTGAATATGTCCACAGGAATGTTTTACACTACAAAAGATGCAAAAAGCTGTATTTGGCATTGCTTGTGAACATAAAAGCAGAATTGTAATGTTACTAGAAAGAGAGGAAGCAACTATACTAGAATCTGTTATTCTGAAGTTATCTATAAAAATTCTCCTGTTTCTATCCAAATTCTTTAATGAAAATATGGAAATTATTTATGTAGTCTTTTTGAAGATATGTATGAATTCAGTATAATACATAGTTTATATGTCAGTATAATTTAAAAGCAGTAATACAGACAGAGATGCTTGTTCAGAATGATATGGTGCCTCTGGGCTCCGTGAGAAGAAACGTGCCTTTCCCTCGGGTGCCTGGTCCCACCGAAGAACCTTGTCCATCCCAGCAGGTACAGCAGAAGGAAGCTGCTGGCACCAGGGTGAGGACGATGAGGGTGAAATTGTGTGTGGGTGAGATCTGCCCTCTCGTGGAGAGAGAAAATATCTTTCCCTCACTATGTGCAGTGTCTGACAGCGTGGGCTGTCTTAATCTGAAGGAGGTGATACGATAGTTCATATTAATTTGGGAAACCAGACAACTATTCAGCCCCAAAATTCCCTCTTCCCTTGGAAAGGTGAGAAGTGGAAAACATTTTTCTGAAAATATCTAATTTCATGGGTGTTCAACCCAGGGAATTCCCATATGTTTTTCTTCTAAGTTTTCTGATTTTGGTGATTTGTGTGTTGGCTACAAATGTCACTACATAAGGATGTTTCCCTTCATCATAAGCTAGATAAACTTCATCGTAGTTTAATAAGAAAACCCATAATATTTATCATAATTAATTCTGTATTGCCTGGCTAACGGCTTTGGAAAAAGTGCTTTTGAAATGTTTCCTAAGCTCCTAGTCCAACTAACCATTTACTATGAAAAGACGGTTTTGTGCAGAATCAATGGGTAATATTGCATATACATCTTGTGTAGTCCTAACATGTTGCATCTTCATACAGTTTTATTTTGAATTATCCATAATAGGGAGGGGGATGGAAATGGTGTCCAGAGGTGGCATTTGTCATGTTACCTATGGTTCTGTGAGAATTTGGGCGAAAATTTAGACCAGGAGAGTGAATCTAGATTACCACTTCCTAAGATGAGAATCTACCCCTTTCTTTGGTTCTTTGTTCATGAAAGATACCCTCATTGCATGGCTGTAAGTTTTGCTACTAACTAGAGGTTATCTGAAGAAGTAAAATGACATTGCAGAATCTACACTCTGCATTTTAGGCCTTTTCCCTGGCATCTTTATTCATGCCCATTGCATCTTCACTGTATGCTTATTCATCGATTGCTTTTATAGCTATATGTAATGAGTAAATCAAGATTTTAAAAGCATATAAACAGTGTTCCAGTGCATGGTATTGTATTATAGATTGCAAGTACATATTCATGGTATTATATCACACTAACAGGAGGTCAAGGGGAATATCGGCTATGATGAGTCAAGAAGGGTAAATGTTTAATGGATTTAACCAAAATTAATCCATGGTGGGGTGGGAAGAGTGTCCTTATGTACTGTTAACATTCCATGACATATCTTCTCTGTAAGGTGGTTCTTTGTAACAGTGTTTTTAATATGAAGGCATATTTGAAACTGCCTTTTTAAATGTGTAATATAGACCTTCATCAGAATGAAATTTCAAGAACGTTGAGGGAAGTTGACAAATAGAGACAAGCTTTTGTTTATAACAAATAAAAATTTTCCCAGTCTACATTGATTTCAGTACCAGGCAAATATTATAAAATAATAAGAGTGTGTGGTAACCACTGTGTACCAAGTCTCTGACATTACTCTGCGCACAATACTATGGGCTAGAATTTCTACCCTCCCCTTTTCATGGATGAGTAAAGAGGAGATGGTGCTATGGTTTCATGAAGCCAAACCATTTACTAAAACATCTGAGGCACTAATTTGTGTTAATTATCCAGTCAGTTCAGGTGATGTTAACTGTGTGGTCTTTGGTTTGCTTGAGAGGGAGGTAGGCTGTTTGATGCCCCAAGTCAGATGCGAGGACCTGCAGTTATTAGCAGCACATAGCTGACAGTTGAAGAGATGTAGAAAATACAAAAGTTTGGTCACTCCATTATTTTCTGTAATTTCCAGGAAGGGGGTAAACATTATGAAAGATGCAAGTTTTAATATAAAAAAGATAAGAACATACTTTGTTTAATCTCATAAATTCCGAACCTTCCCCTAAAGATAATTTGGCTAATTATGAAGCACCCCCTGTGCTGTCAGAGAGGGGGAAATGACTGTTTAGAAAGATTAGAGCAAATCACCTGGTACTTTTTTCATTGGTCAAATATGCTAGCAGTTTTACAATTCTTCTATGCTAGTACTTGTCTGTCAGGCAGAAAGCAATGTTTATGTTGCATTTAAATGCATTATTTGTACTTACTAAGCATTATGACCAACCTCTTTTTACTTGTTGATGTATTAATTGCCTATAACTTTACACATTGTTTCTGGAGTTGGAAAGCCCTTACCTTAAGAAAGAAAAAAAAAAAAAAAGAAGAAAGAAAATAAAAAAGTAACACGAAAAAAGAGAGGAAGTTTTTTATTAACAGAAATATAACCTGGGTGTATTGAAGAAGAATTGAACAAGCTTCTTGGTATCAAATATAATAGTCTTCAAAATGACCAGGCTTATGATTTTTCATATTTAATACCAAGTAACCAATATTATCAGGCAAACATATTTTAGCATTACAGCTATTTTTTCCCCCTGTGTTACACTATACTAATTAATGCAGTTACTTAATATGAGTAGGTACTACTTTGACTTAATACACTATGTCTAGAAAGTAATTTCAACTACTGTTAAGACTAATGATTGTATGGCACACTAAATAATGAGAAAAGTGCTATTTCAAGTGGATTAACTCGTTATTTCTTACCTCCTGATACAAATGACTCAGTGGCCGTTAAGAGGTCTTGTAGCTTTTCTGGGCTACTTTCTATGCCTGCATAATCAGGCCATAATACCTGCCTGCAGCTTGGGAATACTGTAAAAAATTAAGTATCTTAATGCTTCTGCAGTGTTTTGACATTGTACAGCATTAAAATTAAACTATCATTCTAACTACTGCTATACAATTATCACCACTTTGATGAAAAGTGGCTTCGATGCAAGGATCCAAGAAAGCTAGGAGATACATACGTTGATGTTGGTTTATTCCTTTTTCCAATCAGAGTGTGGGTATTCACGATGTTCCTAGTGGCCTTGGTCACCAGTGTCCACGCTCACGGCCTCGCTGTGGTTTGTTGCAGGGGGCAATGGCTGGGGCTTCTCTCAGAACATTGTGCTTCCAGGATTTTTTTTGGTGATTTTCACCTGGGAGCAGATGTCCTTAAAATCAGTGGCTTAACATGTATCTGTCTGCACAGTACATTTCAATTAGCAAGTATCTGCCCACATTCTATCGTTGCCTAATTGTTATTTTTTACTGGGAAGTGCTTCATAGCTTGTTTTATTTCCTCTTTGTGTGATGTAGGTTACCATGGCCTTTACTGTGAAGAGGAATATAACGAATGCCTTTCTGCACCCTGCCAGAACGGAGCCACCTGCAGAGACCACGTCAACAGCTATGAGTGTGTGTGCCTTGCTGAATATGAAGGTAAAATGGGCTTTGCCTCTTCTTTTTTTGACTTGTTCTATGTCTTTTTAATGGTAGGTTCTGTTACAAACAGAGATATACAACATCCTCCATTGAACAGAAATAAATCCCACATCTAAAATTAATGGAAACAAACTTCGATGTAGATCTTGATCCCATACTCTTTATTCAAATGAGTAGTTCAGATTTAGCTGATCTATGAGGAATGTATGTCTTTGGCAACAAATGGCTTCCCTCTGTTCTTCTTAGGTGTCCTTTTTTCTGCTTTTTAAAGATATGTTAGAAAGTGATGAGTTTTTAAAAGAAAACATAACTGTTAAATTTTTTCATCGTTATTGTTAGAAGTCATGATGTGGAGGGCTTTCCAAATTCTTTTTTTACTTATTTTCTCCAGTGAAGTGAGTTAAAAACACAGTAATAAAAGATTAGTATTTGAAACAGGTTAGCACAACAGAGTAAAAATGAAAGTTTTATGTTGATTGTTCATTTAAAAGACTGTAAAGCCCAGAGACAGTAGTAGGTCTGTAACTGCTTTCCCATGTTAACTGGAGCTATTCCTGGGTATGTTCAAATGGAATTGGTCTGGCATTTCTTAAGTAATTTATAAAATAGAGCAGAAAAGTGTGTGTTTTGTTGTACAAAATCTTCTATCTTGTGGATTTCAGGTTTACACAGAGTAGCACATATCAACTGTCTGTGACATCCTTCTGTGAAGGGCTAAAATGATACTTTTTTGTGAATTCAGTTTCAAATTGTGCTGTGAGAAGATTTTGAATGTAATTTTCTATGTTATTAGTATTAAAAAAAATATATATTTTACATAGAATGACTACGTTTTAAGGAACATTACCACAGCATTTTCTCATTAAGTGTATCAATCCTTATCTGTGTTGATGAGTAACGCTCACTTAGCAGCTGCTTGAGGCTAAATATGTATTTCATGCTGGTGATTGCACTCCTCTTTAACAATAGATACACAATTCATCATTTTAGAGGCTTAGTGAGGAAATGACCCTCAGCTTTTCATGATAGTTTAAAGAGCACTTAACCATAATGTTATGACTTCATGGTCTGTTCTCATCCAGCCTGTACATGCATTTGAAAGCACTGTGTGCGCAGCACGTTTTGCTTTAAGTGAAAGCAGGGCACCTGGTCCTGTAAGCAGTTTTGGCTGATTACTGAGCTTTCTTCATTCCAGTACTTAAGGTGTTCAGTGACACTACTGAATAGAGCCGAGGTACCCAGCTCAAGATGTAACGTGGGCCATTAGAGGCCTCTGTTTTACCACCACCAACGCAGACGTCCCCATCTGCAGCCCCCCCTTCTGCCCCCACACCCCCCTGGCTGGCAAATAGACGAGAGCTGGTATCGCTGCTCTGGGCTGAGGTATATGCCAGCATGGACCTGGGGGCTTCTGCTTAGCTGCCTTCTGCTGCTTAGCTGCAGGACACTCAAACTTAGAGTGCTCTGCCTTTTTGCTGCTGGCAAACTGACAAAATGATTTCAGCAGCTGAGTGTGTACAAGTCTGTGTATCCCTAGCTGAGTGTGTACAAGTCTGTGTGTATATATACATATATTAAGAAAAAAATAAAATAAGTTGGTTTATATTTTTTTAATTATCACTATTAACTTGAGATGATTGTTTTTATATAACTCGTGTAAGCTTGCATTGCTGTACATAACCAGTGTTGAACATTAGAGAACTAAGTTCATTCCTTTTAATTGTTCACGCATTATATAAATTTGCTTGTATGCATACATCTGATATATTATGTGTCAAATTTCTTCCTTTTTTGTATAGATTTTTCTTTCTTGTATTCTTTTCTCTAAAGAGACTATTTTCTCACTAATTTTACCTCGTATAGTTCTGTGTCTCAAACTCTCCAAATTCATATTCACAAACTGCCCAATTCCAGAGCAACGCAATTGGTATTTCATGAAAGAGCTTGGGAAGGAGTAAGGCAGGATCAGCTGCATGTCCACTTTTCACATGTATTTGTCTAACCTCTTCTAGTCCTCCATCATTGTAGGTTCTGTAATCTCCACAAGCAACATCATTCCTTCACTGTCATTCACTACCTCATGATGAGAAACATTTTCCTGATGCCAAAGCTGTATTGCAGTTATACATCACAAACAATATGAGTTTATGCTTCTATTGACTCTGCATCTTTACAGTTCGCAGGACAGTAAGGATTTGGAAACATGAACCACCTTAAAAAGTGAAAAAATGTGTTTGTAATTTGTGTTATCACATGGAAGCATTCAGAACCCTGCTCTTCAGTTTGCTGAAATTCTTGTAAAAAGTATAAGAATAGGAAAACTCAAAGATAACTTAGGATTTTAGCTAAGTGGTCACTTTAGATTAATTCCCAAGCAAAGAATGGTAATAAGACTTAGATTTAGACTTGAAACTTACATTAATTTAAGCAGGTATTTTAAATGCAAGCTAATTTCACTGTAGTAGATACATTATAAATGAAGTGCCACCTATCATTCATTATTCATATAGGTACATTTATTTTTTCATGTTTCAGTGCCATCCATGCACTGATTAAGTCATTCAGGTATTGATTTTTCTAGTTTTATCTGAAAAGTAGATCCAGAGAAAATGACTGTGTAGCAGTGGCAGTGGAGCGTCTCTCCCCATCCCCAGGTGGGAATCTGCTGTGCTTTATGTTCTGCATGCCAGATATGGTTTGCATTGTCTTCTGCAAGGCAAAGCTGCTGAATTCACATAACCCACACCTGAGAATGAGACAGCGAAGGTAGTGGCATGAAGTTGAGCAAACCTAATTATTTACTTTTAGATATACATTTGAATTAATTAATTTCTCTTTTTATTGCCTTAGTTATACTGTTTGGCTCCCTGCAAAAGTCAATGAGAGGCATCAGAATGCTTATGTATTTTATGAAAGAAATTATTACATAAAATTCTTACTGAAGACAATTATTGTCTACATTTTATTGAAGAATATTAGATAGCCGATCAAATTAAGCTTTATTATACCATTGTTTTTTCATAGATGCTCCAGCAGTTCTTGTTAACAGAAATTGCCCTACATGTCTTATCCCAAAGCCTCAGTGGGTGGGAAGAGCAGAGACAAGGCATGTGTGTAAAAAAAAAAAAAAAAAAAAAAAATAATAAATTTAGCCACCATAATATATATGGCTTTAGTCTTATGGCATTAGCCTAATAGGACAGGTTTGGGGGCTGCACATCATTGTGCTCATCCAGGTGAAGTTAAGTTATCGCATGTACTGATTTCACGCTGTCAGTATAGGTCATGTTAATGGCAATTACTATTTTTATCTTTCAGGAAGGCACTGTGAATTATACAAAGATCCTTGTGTTAACATCAACTGTCAGAATGGTGGCACTTGTGACAGTGAAGGTCTAAATGCTACATGTATTTGTGCACCTGGATATACAGGCAAGTAATTTGTACATTACACAGAACGTCTAGTTGTCAGGGTTCACTGTGTCCAAAAGAAGACAAATACCAAGTAAGACTGTGTCTCTTCAAAGAAACAAATTAATTTGGACTTTGCTGAATTATAAGCAGTCTAGTGAGAATGAAAAGTTCTTGACATTACTTGCAACTGCTTTGAACTTTAAAAATTTTGCAGCAAAAAAAGCCTGTTACTAAAGAGAATTCACTAAGCTAACAGCTATTTAACATGCCTTATGACCTTACTGCTTGAGACTAGATTGCATTTCAAAAAATTTTGAAGACTTCCGGGTAAGCCAATATACTAATTGGACGCTGTTGAAACTGAAAAATGTTTTAACATTGACCTTAGTTACTGGGAGCTGAAGAAACAACTTATTCCGTTGCAGATTCACATTACCTTAACATGCAATTGCTAAAAGCCCTAAAGTGCTTGTTATGAATCAATTTACACTTTCAGAGTAATGGTAAGCAGACCATTTAATCCTTTGGCCTTGTATTTAACCTGATTTGATTGATGTAATCCAAATATCTGCTGTCAAGATAATTTACAACCTGATGCTCTGTTAGTCATATAAGGGAATATCCAATGTGATAGTATTTATCTTGACCACAAGTTTTTTTCCATCTTATTTTCTCCCCCCTCCCCATCCAGCTGAGGAGAGGAGTGATAGAGCGGCTTGGTGGGCATCTGGCATCCAGCCAGGGTCAACCCACCATACTGTTCTACAGTGGCTGTTTCTCAGAGGCACTGATTATCTACATTATTGTATAGCACTCCAGAATATATATGATAAATTGTATACCACATTTTCTTGGGATGGAACTTTTATTTGAAGAAATGAGACATACATAATCTGGGTGAAGTTAGTCAAGTCACTTAGCCCTCAGACTTTGTTTTCACCTGGTTGAATGAGGAATAGATTTCCTTCTTGGAGGCTACGTGAGACTTATTTCATGAAACCGTTATAGAATACTTTTGATCTGAGAATAAAGATACTATTGAGCTGCAAAGTGTTTTGCAGCTAGAGAAAAATCTAGTGACTACTGATCTACCTGCTACGTAAGGCATCCACTATATAGAAGTTTGTTTTTTGTTTTTTGTTTTTTTTTTCTTCTTCTCTGATATAAGGTGAAGAATGTGAAATTGATGTAAATGACTGCGACAGCAACCCATGTCACCATGCTGGAACTTGCATAGATCAGCCTGGTGGTTACACCTGCCATTGTCCACATGGATGGGTCGGTGCAAACTGTGAAATATGTAAGTTTTGTAGTTTTCTAAAGATGATACATTATAATAAAGAAATTTATATTTGTCTCTACCTATCTGCACAAATACTCTGAATCATCTGTAAATTATCAAAATTCTGTTAAATGCATTTATTTTAGGCCATAACATTTCAAAAGTGGCTCTGAAAGTTAGAAAATTCTGTTTCTGGGCACCCTACTTTGAGATGTGTTGAATTTGATTGTCAGAGATGCTGTCTCACAGCTGGGCACTAAGCAGTTTGCCTTTTAATTGCACTTATGCTTCAAAGCTTATTTTCATACTTACTTTGGGTAAAGCATACTTCCATAGTGCTCTAAGCATGGTCCTAACAGACTTGCGTTGACATCTGAGCACCTGCAGTTCTAGTGATGTTTCAGCAACACAATTGTGAATGTGCTTACCTAAGGAAACAAGTCCTGTGTAATTGTGCTATGACTTGGGTGTGCATATATTTACCAACTTTTTCAGGAATAACTTTTCCAACCATAGGCCAATTTCCACCACAGTTGTTAGAAAAGTAAAGGTCTCAAAACCAAAATATTTCCTAAGCATTTAGTAAGACAGAGAAGTTCAATTGGTGGGTCTAGTGAAGGAACATCTTCAGTGTGATCTCGCTTCTTAGTGCAGAGAAAAGACTAAGTGTAACCGCATCCTTATGGAACATTAGAGAGTCCATGAGAGGAAGACAGTATGAAGCCCAGCTGTAGAAGAATTAAAACAGAAATTAGGCTTCATTAGTTCTGCTGCTCACGGAGCTGCTTTGTATTTCCCTGATGTCTTGCTCTTGGGCTATATATGTTGTCTTTACTAGGGAGTTTAGCTGTGTATTTAACTGCTTAAATGCTCAAGTACTGTGGTCATAGATCCTTTCAAGTCATTATACAGGTACACAAGTTTGTGTGAGGGGACTTACACCACTTAGCACAGCTAACGTTGCAGGGATAGGTGGTAGATTAAAAAACAAACAGACGAAGGGACTCAGAAAGCTCCTATTGTACATTCATGAGAAAATACCTACATAAAGGCTGGAATAAAAAATGTTTTCACTATCTCATTTACACAAGGAGCATATGAAGCTTCTCTCTTTTACTTAAACTTTACTTAAATATATTGACTACTTTTTAAGTTGATTTCTGTTCTTGATATTAGTCCTTACTTTAACCCAGAAGACAACTCTGTTCGCACCTGGACTGACACAAAAGTTTTATCTTGACAGGTTTATGACCTTCTCTCCCTGTAATTGGTTGTGAATTCAGTTTCAGTGCTTTCTGTTGAAAGCAAAGACTGCAGAAGAGCATTGCTAGCTAGTCCAGAGATGGTGACAGCACTGCCTTTTTGTTGTCTCTGTGAATGGTGCTCACGCTTCCCTGTGTGGTACAGAACCATCGTGTCATTGGGAGCGCAATGCTATGTGCTGCCTGTATGCGATACTGCTCATGCTAAAAGATGCTCAGATGAGCTTTTACTGACATGGCTGTTAGTGTTACCTGAAGCACGTGTGTTGAAGGTTGTGTTGGTTTTGCGTGGCAAGG